CCAGCCCCCTGCGACCCCCCCAGCCCGGTGCAGGGGCAGCCAGGCCTGTCCCCCCAGCTCAGGCTTCAGCCCCCTCCCCACCTCCCGCGGGCTCGGCGCCTCACTGTAGCGCCCCCAAATCCAGGCCTGCGCGGGGAGCGCGGGTCCGGCCGAGCCAGGACACCTGGGCTCCCCCAGCACCCGCGACAGGTGCGAGGACCAGGGGCCCCGGCTGCTGCGGTCGGGCTGGGCCCCCGGCGCCGGCTCCGCGCATTCCTGGGCCGTTGTCTTAGCAGGAAGGAATTTCCTGCCTGCGATTCTCCATTTATTTATACTCCCGCCTGCGGCTCCCACGCACGCCCGGCCAGCTCCGGGCCTGGGCACCGCACAGGGGATGGGGACGGGGCCCACGGGTGCATCCAGGGGTGGCGAGGGGGTGCAGCCGTGGGGGCATCCTTGCATCTTAGTCTCCGGGGAGGGAGATGAGCGTGTGGGACTAGGATGACTGGGCAGATAAAGTCCAGTTTTGGAGCAAAAGCAGAGCAGATCGAACCAGCGCAACGTCTGCTCGAGGGTATCAGCGGACACGAGACGCTTTTCTCCCATCCTAGTGGAGCTGGTGCCGTCCGATCCAGTTTCACATCCAAGCCAGAACACCTTGAACTGGCGGAGCGGACAGTCCCTTGCTGTATGATGCCCCCATTTAGGACACAGAGCACGGTCCAGAGGGGAAAATACGGCCGGAGACGTCCAGGGTGTCAAGTCACGAGTCCTGGCGGTGTCCCCATCTCTTCTTTGGGTTCGTTCAACAAAATCTCGCGTCCTTGGGTGTCTTAAGAGCAGTAAGGGCATCTTGGGTTCAACAAGGACAAGTGCAAAGTCCTGCACTTAGGAGGGAGCAATCCCATACATTGGTGCATGCTGGGGTGATGGGCTGGGCAGCCGCTCTGCAGAAAAGGACCTGGGGGTGACCGGGGGCAAGAAGCTGAACAGGAGCCGGCAGCGTGCCCTTGGTGCCAGGAAGGCAAACAGCATCCTGGGCTGCATGGATAGGAGCGGTGCCAGCAGGTCGAGGGCAGTGATTCTTCCCCTCGATTCAGCACTGGGGAGGCCACATCTGGAGTCCTGTGTCCAGCTGTGGGCCCCCACTGCAGAAAGGATGTGGATACATTGGAGAGAGTCCAGTGGAGGGCAATGCAAATGGTTGTGGGGCTGGGAGACAGGACATGCAAGGAGAGGCTGAGGGAACTGGGCTGATTCAGTCTGGAGAAGAGAAGACCGAGGGGGATTGAATAGCAACTATCTGCAGGGGGGTTGCAAAGAGGCTGGAGCTGGGCTGTTCTCAGTGGGGGCAGATGACAGAAGGAGCAATGGGCTCAAGCTGCAGCAAAGCAAGTTGAGGTTAGAGATCAGGAAAATCTTTGTCACGAGGAGGGTGGTGCAGCACGGGGACAGGCTCCCCAGAGAGGCGGTGGAGTCTCCCTCCTTGGAGGTTTCCAAGGCCCAGGTAGACAAAGCCTTGGCTGGGATGATGGAGTTGGGGCTGGTCCTGCTTGGAGCAGGAGGTTGGACTAGACGTGACGTCCGGACGTCCCTTCCCACCTTCGTCCATGGTTCTATGATCTTAACGGCAGCTCGGATACTTCGCTGTCAGGCATTTCTACCCCTGGGTTCATGGGACCGCACCTGAGAGGTGGCTTCTAGCTTGAGCGATGAGCAGTTCTGCAGGGCCCG